TCAAACACTCTACTTTGTGAGGTAAGCAGGAATGGTTTTCTTTATTCATGAGATTGTCTCACTTGGCAGACCCAGAATGCAAAACTAAGACTTCAGATGGAGTTACAGGGTTGTGTTTACCGCTCTCAGCTGCCATGTATGTTCCCCAGAAAACCCGCAGTCCCCACAGCTAGTTTCTTGGGTCAGTTTCTTAGGGGTCAGTTTTCATCTTCTTTTCTTTTCCCTTTCTTGTCTCCCTTGGAAACAAATGCAGGTGCAAGCCCCAGGCCTCCAACCTCCTACCTTTGCTCTGTCATCCTCGCCCACTGTCCAGGAAGGGGGCCTGAAAGGCAGTGAAGAGCTGCTGCAAAGATGCAAAGATAAGAGGAAATTCCCAGAAGTGAAATGTGTTCTAGGAGCTGAGCGTTTCCTAGGGGTAGGAGAGGGAGGCATCCTTGGTCTTGTTTGGCCCACAAAACCCAAAGATGCCATTTCTCAGCAAATGTCTTTGGCCACCCCCAGTGGGTACTGGGGGGCTTCCCAAGTGGCGCAGTGGTAAAGACTCCGCTGGCCAATGCAGGAGATGTAGGAGACTCGAGTTCCCTCCCTGGGTCAGGAAGATCCCCTGGAGGAGGAAATGGCAACCCACTCCAGTATTCTTGCTGGAAGAATCCCTTGGACAGAGGAGCCTGGTGGGCTACAGTCTTTGGGGTCCCAAAGAGTCAGACACGACTGAGCTACTGAGCGAGCCTGCACACACATAACGCATACTGAACCAAACCAGGCCCAGTAACATTTAGAAGTTTCCTATGATTTATCTGAACAGTGTTCATATGCCTTTAAAGGCATTTATAATTAGCTAGAGGGATTTGGTGAAATGGAGAAAGATTGGGATTTAGCTAATTATCTGCTCAGATTCTTCCCCTGTAAAATAGGAGATTTAATTAGCTAAATGGTTCTAGCTCAGATGTTGAAAATGTTTCATTTAGGACACTGAAATGAGTTCATAATAGTTCATGTACTAGAAGATCCATATAATTAACCTTTCTATTTTTTCATTCCTTTAATTTTTACTATTATAAACAAAGCTCTATTATGCATATCCTTAAATATTTGACCATATATGGCAAATATTTTCATTTTTAATTCAATATAAGAGGTAAAATATAGCTTTTCACTAAGTTGTATTGCTTTTTAAAAAAATCATTTTATTGAAGTATAACTGATTTACAATGCTACATTAATTTTTCCTATACAGCAAAGGGATTCAGTTATATGTGTATATATATATACTTTTTTGCATATTCTTTCCTATAATGGTTTATCACAGGATTTTGAATGTAGTTCCCTGTGCTATTCAGTAAGACTTTGTTGTTTATTCATTCTATATAGTTTGTATATAGTATAGTTTGTATCTGCTAATCCCCAAATCTCCATCCGTTGCCTACCACCCCCCTTCCCCTTATCAACCACAAATTTGTTCTCTATGTGAGTCTGTTTCTTTCATAGACAAGCTTTTTTATTTTGGCCATGACACAACACGTACTTGTGAGATCTTAGTTCTCTGATGAGATGAGGGATCAAATGCAGGCCCAGGGCAGTGAAAGCACCAAGTCTTAACCACTGAACCACCAGGGAATTCCCATTTGTATCATATTTTAGATTTCACATGGATGATATCATTATGGTGTTTGTCTTTCTGATTTACTTCACTTAGGATGATAATCTCTACGTCCATCCATGTTGTTGCAAATAGCATTACTTCATTCTTTTTTATGACTAAGCAGTATTCCATTATATATATATGTACCACATCTTTTTTTTTTTTTAATATTTATTTATTTGGCTATACCAGGTCTTCGTTGCAGCATGAGAACTCTTAGTTGTGGCATGTGGGATCCAGTTCCCTGACCAGGGATCAAACCTGGGCCCCAGCATTAGGTGCACGGAGTCTTAGCCACTGGATCACCAGGGAAGTCCCCACATCTTTATCTGTTCCTCTATGGACGGACATTTGTTTCCATGTCATAGCCACTGTAAGTAGTGCTGCTATGAACAGAGAGGTGCAAGTTTTCTCTGTATATATGCCCAGGAGTGGTACCGCAGGATACCACGGCAATTCTATTTTTAGTTTTGCTTTTTTTTTTAATTTAGAATGACTTTTTAAATATTGGACACTTTTATTTTGCGAGGTATCATTCATCGTTATCTGAATTTATTAATTTCCCTGCCACTATATATGCTTTCACTTTTTCCCCCAACATGTCATTTGCATTTTGAGTTTTGTCCATGGTAACTATCCTATATTAATGGCAGAGCAGTCTCTTTTCTGTGTTTATTTTTATGCTTAGAACCATCATCTTAGCCTGAGTGGCATTCATATGCTGCCTGGTAATTAAGAAAACTAGGCTCTAAGAGAAGAAATGTTACCCAGGCCCTACATCTAGAGAGTGTGGGGCGGGAACTGAATCTCAGTCTTACCTCAGACTCTTCCCTTATTCCTCAGGCTTTCTCTGATCAGCTGCCTGCCAGACAAGCACACAAGAGCCTGGGGAAAGGAAGGGAGGTAGGGAGTTCTCGTCTGAGAAGAACAGGAGCATGGAACCCTGGTTATATATCCTAAATCATTTCCTTCCAAATACTGATTCCCTGAAGATCTTGCTGAAGCTCCAATACTTTGGCCACTTGATGTGAAGAACTGACTGATTAGAAAAGACCCTGATGCTAGGAAAGACTGAAAGCAAAAAGAGAAGGAGGCAGTGGAGGATGAGATGGTTAGATAGCATCACTGACTCAATGGACATGAATTTGAACAAACTCCAGCAGACAGTGGAGGATAGAGGAGTCTGGCGTGCTACACTTCATGGGGTCTCAAAGAGTCAGACACGACTTAGTGACTGAACGACAGCAAAGACCTTGTCCATGTTTTTCTTTTTTTTTTTTTTAAGTTGTTTTTTGTTTTGCTTTTGGTTTGGTTTTGGCCATGCAGTGTGATTTTAGGGATTTTAGAACCCTAACTAGAAACTGAACCTGGGCCTGAGAAGTTAAAGCACTGAATCCTAAAAACAACTGGACCTCCAGGGAATTCCTAAGACCTTGCCCTTGTTGAGGACCAATTTCCTGCAAAGAATGTAAGAAAACTAGACACAAAAAGCAAGAGACAGCATCATTTATTTCTTTTGCACCTACAAGAAACTTGGAAATGCTGAAATCTAATTTCAGAGAAAGACCATCACTCACCAACCATCTTAGCATAGGCAGATTCCATGGCCAGCTTTGCCACAGCATATATGAGTAAATAGTTCGTGAGTCAGTGTCTTCTCTACTACAACTTGATAAATATAAGGGCCAACTAATGCTTATTAACCCATTCCAATGTGGATTTCACACATTGTAAAGCACTGTAGGGGCAGAAAGACAGGGGTCCAGAGAGAAGCCTTATGTTTTAGGTCAGTGTTCAGTCAAGGCTTCTGCTCCATTTGAACAGAGGACAGCATCCAGTCTCCTACCATGCAGCTATGCTTCTGTCCCACTGGGGCCCAGACCTGGGAAACTCAGCATATCCCCTCATGAAGACACACAGGAGCAGTTTCCTGACGCCCTCTGTGGGCACAGGGCGGCCTGCGGCTCTGCCCTCCAGCAAGGTCTGGTGGTACTCTCATCCTCTCTTCACCTGGTACTGCCATTTGGGAAGGAAAATGGGGGTGAAGGATGGGGTTGGAGGCTAGAAAGATGTCTACTGATGAAACCTGAGTAGTCTGGCGTCAAAACCCAAGGTGCTGACAACGTAGATCCAACTTAAGGATTTTCAAGCTATGAGGCCTTCCTGGGCCTTACTGACAAAGGAGTCTTTGAATTTGGGCTCATCAAGAAGCCACTGCACTGTTACAAGTTATCCTGACAGTTTGTGTGCTGGTACTGTAACTTCATAGACTGGCAAGGTAGCAAGGAAGGTGAAATATGTAATTGGACATTTCTGTGGTCAAGCAGCCTGTGCTCAACCCCTAGTTTTCCTTAAAGTCAGTCTGTGCGGAGCAATTTAAGGCTGCTGGAGTTCATCTCTGATGTACACCAGATTCTTATTTATAAACTGGGTAAAGCTAACTTTTGCTACTCTGTAACCTTGGAGGTAGTCTGCCATATGAACAAGAAGCATCTTTATAAAATTTCTCCAACCTTGAGGTTTCAGTCCCCTTGGCTAAGCAGATTTCTCCCACACAAGTGTGCTTCCCACCCTCTCCCTCTTGGCATGGATAGGTAGGTACCGGAGGAACCCACGCTACACTGTGTAAACTGAAGAGAAGAGATGCATTTGCATTCATCTTCCAATTTCTCTCTCTACTCAAACCCATTCATTCTACACTACAGTTTGCATTTGGCCATACAGAGTGAGTTGGGAGAGGGGGACTTGCTTTCAGGCAATTGTTTGCCTAGAAGCAGAGATGTGTTCGAAGTCCAGAGGGAAGACACAGTTGGCTGGACAAGGGAAGTGGGCAGTGTGCACACGGAGAAGAGGGGGGACCCATTCCAGGCCACAGAAATAGCCACAGTGAGTCCCATTCTGTGAGTATTGAGTTTATTTCTACAAATCAGCCCTCACCCTACCCCTCAATCCCTTCTAAGGTTTACAGAACGTTTAAGTGCTTCATATTGATCAACCATAAAAAGGCAGGACAGATGGACTTCCAAAGATCCCTTTTCCTCCCATCTAAGGAACCCCCTTAGGTCCTCTGCCTGCCCATATCCCCTGCACTTTATGCCCTTCCATCCTGACAACTTCATTTCTTTAGAAATTATGTCTAGGAGATCTCTCCAGCGCAAATACACAAATCTTCAAATCCTTTTTCAATTTTGCATACTATTAAAAAGTACAGATGAGCCCTAGCTGATTTCATCTGTGACCTGACTCACACTTGCTTAGGTTACGTCCACTGTTTCGTTGTAGCAGGAGTTTAAGTGCTGCTCCCCAGCTGCAATGGCTGAGGGCTGGGGTGACTAGGGCCTCCCACCGGGGTCCTTTCTCAGAGGTAGGGATGGAACCGGCTACTGATGTGGGCAGGTGCCTTCATCAGAGCGGGCTGAGGAGCACGATGGGAACACAGCTCCTGGGGCAGAGGGGGCTGAGGGGGTGACGAGGCTGGAGTAGGCGGAAGTGACCAACAGGGCCACGGGGGCACAGCGGCCTCCAGGCTCTGGGATGGTGGCTGCGCGAACTCCATCTCTGGCTCCAGAGCCGGCGAAGGCTGCCAGCTCCCCCATGGCTGCTGCTCACCAGAGGGAGGACACTGCCCGTATCCCTGCGGGGCCTCGTTCCCTTGAGCCAGGAGCTGTTCAGGGCCCGCCACATAAGTCTCTGCACGGCCAGCTTCCAGTTGTGGAGAGCACTGTGGGGAAGCCGTGAGAACTGTGGGGTTGAAGCCTGAGGAGAAATAGTGGAGGTTGAAGCTCGAGGAGAAAGAGTAGCGCAGGTCTCCAGAAGGCTCATCAGCTGCCGTCGGCAGGTTACGCGAGGCCATATTCATGCCCAGGTTACCAACATACCCCCCAAAACCAGCTTGACCAGAAGCATTTCCTGGCTTTGAGGAAAATAAACTGGCATCCCTCTGGGCCGCCAGAAGACACTGCTGGCAAGGGCAGTTGGGGGCACAGAGACCTCTGTGACTGGGTCTTAGAGCTGCGGCACCAACTCTTCTATGAATGGGTGCTGGAACCTGGGGGCGTGCCTTTCCCTTCTTTGTTTTCCAGAGAGGATCTCGAGCTCTTCTGTTCTGAAACCACACCTAGAGGGGCGGAGAGATGGGGAAAGGAAGAGACAGAGTCAAAGGGATGGGGAGACAAAAGACATTTTCCAGTTAAGCCCAGTCCCGTAATTATCACCACCAAGAAGCATGTGACTTAAGGTAGAATTCAGAATAAAAGTAAAATTCATGGTAAGCTGATTCAAACCATTCAAGGTGTGGCCCGACCTTAACCTTCTGGGCAAAGCTCCCCCAAAGCATCATGTGCGCATGCGTCCCACAACCCAGGACGCTGTGTGGCGGCCGCAATAGTGACACACCCTTTCTCTCCCATTCTGCTTTCCAGTCTTTGTCTGCACTTTCACTCCTGGCTCTTCTCTTCTCTGCCAACTGCAACTCACCCCTTCTTATCCAGATTATCTTTGAAAGAAGCCTCCTCCCATGGCAGGGGTAGGCAGAGGGAGGCGGGGGGACGGGACTAGGTCATAAGATTAACAAGTTCTGGAGATCTAATTACAGCATGGTGATTACAGGTAATAAAACTGTAAATAATACTTTAAAGTTGCCAAGAAAGTAGATCTTTAATTAGTCCCACGTCCTCTCTTTTGCCCAACACAAGCATCCTCTTCTCTTCCCATTCCCGGGCAGGCCTCCTCTCTGCCTCCTCTAGATTTGAGATGCGGTTCTACTTCCCCAGGGCTACTCCTTCTCCTGGAGGCTCCTCTTCACCCCTCACCCTGGTCCAGCTCTGCCAGGCCTCCCCTTTGCCTTCCAGGAACACAACAGTGGCCTCTTTATAGGCCCAGCCACTGGGCAAGCCCTGAAGATGGAACTGAGCAATAAAGGAACTTCACAGACAATTCCCACGCATTTTCTTTTCCCTTAGGAAAAACAATTCCCCCAGGGAAACTGCAGGACCAAGGCCCAGACTTACTGCGAAGGGGTGAAGGAGGAGGGACATTCCCAAAGTTCCAACCCTGCACTCTCCTGAACACACCCTGACCCCCAAGGCAAGCCCAGCTCCAGGCAGGCACCTTTGCAAATGCTAAGCTGATCTCCAACCAGCAAACTTTCCCAGTCTCTCTGGCCCCTAATTGGGTTTCCAAGGTGGCTCAGATGGTAAAGAATCTGCTTGCAATGCGAGACCTGGGCTCAATCCCTGGGTCAGGAAAGATCCCCTGGAGAAGCAAATGGCAATCCACTCCAGTATTGTCATCCCTTTGGGAAATCCCATGGACAGAAGAGTCTGGCAGGCACTGGGTGGCAAAGAGCTGGACACGACTAATCGACTTTCACTCTCTGGCCCTAACAGGGTGTCTACCTGGTGCGCCCAGAGGAATGTCCCATAGCTGAGCTTTTAAACTTCAAAGTTTCCCATCTGGCTCCAGCTGCTACCTGAAGTATAAATGGAACCCCAGAACTTTTTACTGAACTTCTGAACCCAGTGCTTCTGCCCATAAGTGGTCGTGAAGTTGTACCTGCCTGCCTGCTAAGTCGCTTCAGTCATGTACAACTCTGTGTGACCCTATGGACCATAGCCCACCAGGCTTCTCTGTCCATAGGATTCTCCAGGCAAGAATTTTGAAGTGGGTTGCCATTCTCTTCTCCAGGGGATCTTCCCAACCCAGGGATCGAACCCAAGTCTCTTAGTCTCTTACGTCTCCTGTATTGGTGTTTGGGCTTCCCAGGTAGCACTAGTGGTAAAGAATCTGCCTGCCAGTGCAGGAGATTAATTAATTAATCTAGGACTGAAAACCACTGGTCAAGACACAGAGATTTCAATCCTAGCTACACATCAGAATCACCTGGGAGGCTTTCTAAACCGCCTGTGTATATTCCAGCTCCGCTCTCAGAGACCTGAATTTCATTAAGAGCAGCAGCAGCAGTTTTCAGACTTGACCTCACACTTTAATCACCTAGAGGGCAGAGGAGGGGGTGTTATTTAAATTCCCAGGCTGGACCCAGACTCATCCCAGTAGACTTCCTAGAGGAGGAATCAGACAGACTACAGTGTGCCCCCAAGGCTGTAATCCAGAGATCCAAGATCCCTGGGACCTCCAGCCCCCTTTGGGGCGGGGGGGGGGGGCTCCCTGTGAAACCCATTTTCTTTACAACACCCAGATGTGATTTGCCTCTGCTCTTTTGCTTACTTCCTATATTCTCTGATTCCCAGAGGCCCAGAGACCTGGTACATCAAAGGGAATGCAAAGAACTAAGAAACCAGCTTCCAGGTCTTGTTTTGTCATTCCTCTAAGACAGTTTTCAGGCTTTGAGACTATGGTTGCTTTTCTTAAAAAATACTTCAAAGTTAACAAGTAATGTAACGAGTTTATTGTTGTTCAGTCGCTAAGACTCTTTGCGACTCATGGACTGCAGCACAGGTTTATTATGTTTATTTATTATTTTTAGGTTATTATTAGGTTTATTTATTATTTTTACTGAATTAGTGAATATTTTGAAATTTCTCAGTTTCAATTTCTTTTTTCCCCCTTTTTTTAAATTCTCAGTTTTCAGTTTCTAACATGGTAAATATTTGACAGATAGAACCCACAGAAGCCAGTTTAGACTCTACCCCATGTCAGAGTAGTAACCTAAATTACTAACCTCTAACCTTTATTTTCCTATAAATGGGGATAATGTCTACCTCACAGCAATATTAAGAGGATTAACTCAAAGCAGGGCTTTTTAAACCAGTATTAAAAACAGGCAGTTAATACGTGGGCTGGTTCCTCACCCAGCCCCACCCTCCTATCAAGGATTTACATTTTTACCTGGACTCTTGGCTCAGGAACCTTGATTCGCTTGGCCAGAGCCATTCTGATATTAATATCAGGGTAAGCGTCACTTTGGAAAGCCTCGAAAAGAATCTTGTACTGGTTTTTGTCGTACTTGGTTCTCCTGCGCCTCTGGCCTTCTTTACACTCTGGAGCAGGTCCAGAAAGAGACTCTAGAACAGATCCAGAATGAAAAACAGACTTTAGCCTCAGGCCTCACATTTAGTTTCACTTGTAACCCCTCCATCTCTGTGAGAACAGAGACTTGCTCAATCTGCAACCTTCCAAAGAGAAGGAATTTTGCTTCTGGGCAGGAAGCTTAGGCCCCCTTGCAGAGCTCTCGCAAGCCCGTTCCTGGGATTCTGCTTCTGGCCTGGTACCCTCTGAGGAATTCCATGAAATATGGACTCTCCCTCAGCTCCCAACTCTCCCTCAACTCCCAACTCAGGGATTCCACTTGCACAACTTACCGAAAACATCAGTTCACCCCAAACAATTCTTGGGGCGTCTGCCATATAAATTATAATGACAACGCAATGCACAGGTCCAGACACTGGCCTGGGAATGCCCAGATGTGTCTGTCAAGACCCCCACTAATATGTACCCACCACCTATGAGAGGACTCAAAATACGCAGCTATTAGGAGATGTCAAAAATTAAAACTAGGAAATCTCATCTGAGAAAAACCAAACATCGTGGAATTCTACACATTAATATTTGCATTTCTGCTTGTAACCAGGGCAAGCTCCCCAGTCCTCAATTTTAGCTTTGGGCTCCCAAGTCCATTAGAACTGGGCTCACCACTGACTCAGTTCTAAACAGAATTCACTCCCTGATGAAAAATGGGCAAAATGTCAGGCCCTGGAGAAGCTAGGCTCCCTTTCCCCTTTAAGCCCTCCTCAAAGCAATCTAGAACCACTGCATCCTGCAAAGCGAACGTTCCACATTTCTGAATTTAAGGGAAAAAAAACAACACCGTACCATGATGGGTGCCTTCTACCATCTTGAGCTCCTTCTCTAAGGAGGCTTTTTCAGGGCCTGGTCTAGTTAGTCTTACCCCCTTTCCAAGTCTCAGCACTAAATGGCACAGTGAATAGAAAACTTCAAATCACTCCAGGTGAGCCCTGCCAATACCCCACGGCCCAGACTCTCCCGCATTAGTCCACAAGAGCCCTCCTCCCAAGGACTCACCCTTCGAAGACATGATGAGGATGGGCCTCCAGACGAGCAAGGAACTTCAGCGAGAACTGCCTCCCTGTCTCCTGGAGTCCTGTAGAGGCACTGGAGGGACCCACCCAGTCAAGCCCCTTTTAAACACCTTCCAGGGCCCCCTCCCTTGATGCAATCTCCTCTGAAAGTAGTTCTGGGAGTGGCCAGGCGCACTCGGCCGAGCACTAGTTTCTGGTGCGTCCAACACCGGGGCTTTGCGCAGCTACTGAGGCATTGAGCACTGGGTCAGGATTTGGGAAACCTGACTGGAGATTGCCCCGACCCCGTCGCAGAATAGCGTAGACCAGACCGCACAGCGTCATCAAGGTGATTGGTTTTGAGGGGTACGACGGCAGATAAATTAGTTGAGGAATGAAAGGCAACTCTTCTGCACCCACAATACGCCCAGGTTCAGGGCAGCAAGCGTCGCCCAAAAGCAAACGTCCCCCAGTAGCAAACATAGGGCCAGATTGAATCACACTTTCCTACCCCGTTACTACAGAACTTGCTACTGAAATTTCCTCATCCATTTCCTCTGATCAACATCTCAATCACAAAAAAAAATTTTTTTAAATCATGAAATGAACTATGTTATTATAAAAGCTGCTGCTGTGCCTACCTAGTACATAGGTGATGAGTCAAGATTTAGACATTTATGCTGTATATCAGGGCCCACTTTTCTTGAATTCCATTGGACTGAGCAAATCTCAAGGGAATTTTAGTAGACTATAATTCCACGAAAATAGAAAGGAAATAAGTTGCAAACTGCCCCCAAGGTGCAGGTACCAGGAGAGAAAGGAGTGGGAAGCTGCATGACCTTTGGCTTATCTCATTGCAGTGATTAACAAGCAGGGTGGGGCACTAGATATGATCACATTTTGTTGCTGCTATTGTTCAATCACTCAGTTGCATCCTACTCTTTGCAACCCGTTGGACTGCAGCATACCAGGCTTCCCTGTCCTTCACTATTTCCAGGATTTTGCTCAAACTCTTCTTGTCAATTGAGTCCGTGATGCTATTTATAACCACCTCAACCTCTGCTGCCCCCTGTTCTCCTGCCATCAGTCTTTCTCAGCATTAGGGTCTTTTCCACCTCTTCACATCAGGTGGCCCTAAGTATTGTAGCTTCAATTTCAGCATCAGTCCTTGCAATGAATATTCAGGGTTGATTTCCTTCAGAATTGACTGGTTTGATCTTGCAGTCCAAGGGACTTTCAAGAGTGTTCTCCGGCACAGTTAGAAAGCATCAATTCTTTCGCACTCAGCTTTCTTTATGGTCCAAGTCTCACATCCATGTGGGTGGCTGTGTACTCAGTCATGTCCAACTCTTTGTGATGCTACGGACTGTAGCCTGCCAGGTTCCTCTGTCCATGGAATTTCCCAGCCAAAAATACTGGAGTGGGTTGCCATTTTCTACTCCAGGGGATCTTCCTGACCCAGAGATCGAAACTGTGTCTCTTGCATATCCTGCCTTGACAGGCAGATTCTTTACCACTGTGCCACCTGGGAAGCCCCAGTTCACATCCATACATGACTACTGGAAAAAGGATAGTTTTGACTAGACGGACCTTTGTCGGCAAAGTGATGTCTGTGCTTTTCAATGTACTGTCTAGGTTTGTCATAGTTTTCCTTCCAAGGAGCAAGCATCTTTTAATTTCATGGCTACAGTCACCATCTGCAGTTATTTGGGAGTCCAAAAAAAGAAACTTTGTCACTGTTTCCACTTTTTTCCCTTCTATCTGCCATGGAGTGATGCAACCAGATGCCATGGTCTTAGTTTTTTGAATGCTGAGTTTTAAGTCAGCTTTTTCACTATCCTCTTTGATCTTTATCAAGGAGTTCTTAGGTTCCTCTTCACTTTCTGCATTAGAATGGTATCATCTTCATATTTGAAGTTGTTCATATTTCTCCCAGCAGTCTTGAGTCCAGCTTGTGATTCATCCAGCCCAGCATTTCCCATGATGAGTTTCCCTGGGGACTCAGTGTTAAAAATCCTCCTACCTATGCAGGGGATGTGGTTCCATCCCTAGGCTGGGAAGATCCTCTGGAGATGGGGATGGCTACCCACTCCAGTATTATTGCTCGTAGAATTCCAAGGACAGAGGAGCCTGGTGAGCAATAGTTCATGGGGTTGCAAAGAGTCGGCATGACTGAGCAACTTAAACTTTCACTCTGCAAAAATGATAAATAAGCAGGGTGACAATATATAGCTTTCAAGTACTCTTTTCCCAGTTTTGAACCAGTCCATTGTTCCATGTCCAGTTCTGACTGCCTAAGGTTTCTCAGGAGGCAAGTAAGTTTTCTCAGGAGGCTGGTAAATTCCCATCTTTTTAAGAATTTTCCAGTTTGTTGTGATCCATACCAAAGGCTTTTGATCACATTTTGACCACTATCCAGTGTTTTCCTTCAGGCTCCATAGTTTTGATTTGATTTGTTTTGTTTTTCTCCTGGCTGGATTAATTTGCAACTTGTTCAATTAATTTGGGATTGCCTCAGAAAAAAAGAAATTATTTCCACCAAAGTCTGTCCTGAACTGAAAGATTTAAATAGCAAGAGCAAACTTGGAAAGATCCAAGTGTTGAAAAGTAGAATGGAAAATATTGTTGAAAATTGTCAAAAAGACAACCTCAAAATGCCATATGAAGCTTTCCTGATGGTCTCCCATGGAGAATTCCATCTCAGAAACCTGCTTTCTCCTCTGCATTCCAGGATGCTCAGAAATACATGGGCACTGGCCTCCTATTCTGCTCTGAGGATGGTTCTGCTGGCCCGTCTCGCTCCTGCAGAGAGGGGTAGCAGACTGAAAACTCAGAATGCTTCCAATCCTGAAAGGCTCTCCATCTGCACCAGTTCTGGTTAGAAATGATCTTCACAGCTGTGTGTCCATGAAGGATGTAATCTGTTTGAAAAAGTTTAGCATCAGAGGGTCCGCCTTGGGCAGAAGGAACCACCTTATGGGTGTGATAGTTCCCACTCCTTCACCAGGGAACAGCTATATCAGCATCCCCACACAGCCCCATAAGACCCCACAAGACTCCCCCTCAGCCCCACAAGATCCCACAACCACCCCAAAAAGACCCCAAATGTCCGCACAACAACCCAACAACTCGCCACACCACGCTATCCCACATAATGCCCAACATCCACCACCACCTCTTTAACACTTGACCCTCTCACTTCTTGTCCCTCAGTTTGAGAAGAATACTGCACTTGCATGGGATGGTGAGTTTCAAGCTCTGTGCAGGGAGGAGAGAGATGAACAGGAAGTGCAGGAGTGGGAAAACCCTGGAGAATTTGCAGGGGAGCAGAGGGAGTTCTATACATGTGTGGACGTGGATTTTTGGAGAAATACTTTAGAATGGGAGACACTCAAATGTTATTATAGGAAAGTGTGCATCAGAGCAGAAATGAGGTGACCAATGGTTCAGTGCCACAAAGGACCCATCCAAAGCTCAAAGGATCTGGATCTCTGGTCTAGGTCAAGCCCTGCCCTTGTATTAATTGGTCCCCATAACTGCTCTCATCCCCATTTCTTCGAGAGTGGAGGCCAAGCCCAAAAATCCCTTTAAATAAAGGCACAGTCCTGGAATCCAAGGCAGTTTGGGCAGTAAACTGCTGCCCTTTTTCCTCCTCTGAAACAGGCTCTGAGGATGTTTATACCCAATACAGTGGCTGAGCCACATGTGCTATTGGGCACTTGAATGTGGCAAGTCCAAACTGAGATGTGCTGTGACTATAAAACACACCCTGAATTGTGGGGTTGTTTTGTTTGCTTGTTTATTTATTTATTCTTTTTTTTTGCCCCATGGTGTGGCACGCAGGATCTTAATTTCCCAACCAGAGACTGAACCCATGCTTCTTGCAGTGGAAGCTTGGAGTCTTAACTACTGGACTTCCAGGGAAGTCCCGGCACACTGCATTTTGGACACTCAGTGCAAAACACACGATGTGAAACAGCTCTGTCCAAGAAAAAAAATACTCAATAGCCAATCTAAGAAATAAACGGAAAATTTTATTCAAGCCAATTCGAGGATTACAATCCAGGAGACAGTCTCTCAGAAAACACTGAGGACTGTTCCACACCTTAGAGCTCAAAGATCCATTAGAGGTCAAAGCACAGTTATATAAGCTTTTGAGACAAAGGGTTATCCGTAAGAGAAACATATTGATAGTTTACACGATCTAACAAGGCAAGTAGTGAGTCATCGTGACTCCTTACAGAATTGAAAAAGGAATGTTATCTCCTAAGGAGTTACCTTGCTGGCAGTGACAGAAAATTGGTTGGGTTTTTAGTTAGTTAGTTATTTTGTTGGTGAGCAGGCATTTGTGTGTCTTCTAGAGCTTCTAAGGAGATCTAGTCTGTGTACAGTGCAGATGCACAATGCATACAAAGGGGAGGGAAGAGTGACTCAAACAGCAGATAAAATTTTAGGTTCAATTTTTCTTGTCCTGCCTTAAAATAATTTTGTTTCATCAGCTCAGTGATTTTTATATGCATTGCACAGTCAAAACATTTTTGACATACTGGGCAAAATAAAACGTGTTAGTAAAATCAGTGTCACCCATTTCTTCTTACCTTTTTAATGTGGTTATTATAAAATTTAAAATCACCTATGTGGCTCACATTATATTAAGAGTCTGTGCCCTTAATTGCTGTGCAGTCCCTCTGCACCTATGAGGTGCCAGATAATGGGCAAAATCCTAAAGACAATTTATGAGCAAGACAAATAGTATTCCTCTGTGGCTTCAAGAAGCTTCCACGTTCCTCATGGATAAGGCCAAAGCTTCAGATTCCTTTAGAGCAGAGGCCCCCAACCCCCGGGATCTAATGCCTGATGATCTGAGGTGGAGCTGATGTGATAACAATAGAAATTAAGAGCACAATAAATATAATGCACTTGAATCATCTGGAAACCAATATCAGACACTCATCACTCATAAATTAATGTTTTCCTATAAGAAATGGCAGACTTTGTAACATAGTTCTGAATACTTGTTGATTATTTGAGGTTAGTATTTCAAGAATCATGCCAATTTTTTTTTTTTGAAGCATAACAGCAATAGATGGAAATAGAGAAAGAAAGGGAAAAAAAAAGATTGCGTGTGAGAGGGAAATGAAGATTGAGGGTGATTAAAATGGAGTCAAAAACAGTCTGTTCATGAATGTCTTCACGATTCAGACCCTCAGGACCACACTTGTCTAAAATGAACTCCATGGAACTCCCCTGGTGGTCCATTGGCTAAGATTCCAAGTTCTCAATGCAGGGGACCTGAGTTTGATCCTTGGTCAGGGAACAAGATCCCACATGCCACAACTAAGAGTTCACACGTTTAACTAAAGACCCTGCATGCCACAACTAAGACCAAGCCCAGCCAAATAAATATCTTTAAAATAATAATAACTAAAAACTATAAAATGAACTCCATCAACTTTTATTTTGTCTCTCTCCCCCTCTCCCCCACCCCCCTGATCTCCCTGTCCTTCCAATCCCTGTGACATTAGTGTTAGTCGCTTCATCATGTCTGACTCTTTGTGACCCCATAGATCTGTAGCCCACTAGGCTTCTCTGTCCATGGGATTCTCTAGGCAAGAATACTGGAGTGGGTGGCCATTTCCTTCTTCAGGGGGATCTTCCCAGCCCAGGGATCCAGCAGAAGCTCCAGCACTGCAGGCGGATTCTTTACCCTCTGAGCCACCAGGGAAGGTCAGATAGATTTTGTTGTGAATCTGGCTCCTCCCTTCCCTAGCTCCCTGAAACGGAAAGACTTAGAAAAATTCTCTAAACTTCATTTTTCTTATGTGAACAACAGAAGTAACTAAATGTGCTGCCTCACTGGGTTTTCACATAAAGTGCCTTTCAGTGGGTTCTGGCATGTGTTACATGCTTATTAAACATTAG